TCAGAAGATGAATCCTTTGTGGTCCTCTTAGCAGCCAAACGAGTAGTGACTGCTCGAGGGGGAACCTCCTTGTTTTTCTTCCTTGGGATAGCACCCAGTGCATTAGCCTGTTCTTGTTCAATCAATGCGACCTTTTTTCTCAATTCACCGCAGACCAATTCCCAAGCTTCTTTGGTTAGATCATCCACATTGGCCACCTCACCGTCAGAAACAAACCCCTCCCTTTCCACTACCTTTTCTCCACCCTCATTATTACTGCCTTCCTCAAAAGAGATAAGCTTGGTGTCATCCGTAGCCTCTTTGATAGGTAAAAGAGAATCTTCTAAATTTATATGCCCTTCCTCTGTGTGTCCCACAATTTGTGTCTCCACTCCTGCCATCTCACTTAACTCACCATTCAAAGGATGCCCAAGTGTTAAAGATGTAGGCAGTTCTTGAGTGATAGGAGACCCCCCCTTTTCCAATTCTTCAGGAACAGCCTCTTGCGGTTCCTTCCTACTAGATGATTCCGGTATATCCATCAAAGGAGTCAACATTTTGTCTTTCCTCTTGTCGTTAGCTGCAATTTGAATCCACTCAGTAGGGGATTGTTTTGGGGCCGTCAAAATTTTTTCTTTACCCTTATTTTTGTGTGGAACCTGAATCCACTCTTCCTTAGACTGCTGTGCCTTCTTCATTGGAGCTATTGTCTTCTCATTAGATACAGGATCAGAATTTCTAGTCTCGATGCGCGCCCTAGATACACCACACTCATTTTTGGTATGGCCCACTCTTTTGCACTTCACACAGTATGATGGCAAATCCTCATATGTAACTGATTGAATAATCTCTTTGCTTCCCACCACAATAAGAACTTTAGTCGGTATTTCCTGAAGTAAGTCAATCTCGACACAAACCTTTGCTATGGAGGGTCTTGTCATATTTGCCGTTGCTGCATCCACCTTAAGAGGTCTCCCCACCATTCCAGCAATTGAAAACAAAGCCCTTTTATCATGAAAGTGAATTGGTAATCCCTCAAAATTTATCCAAACCGGTACAATCGACGATTCCACATCGGGATGGAAATCCGGTGTCCACCTCGTTACGCGCATCTTGAAACCTTTGATACTCCACGTTTGCCGTAGCCAACACCTTTGAAAATCCTCCTCCAGAGCAAACTTGAGCAAGATGTGTCGCTGATCCAGTAGTCCCACCGACCAAGAGCCTTGGAAGCCAATTTTATCAAATTCCGTTCTCAAAATGGTCATAGCAGGACGCCCCCTTAAGAACTTTCCTACCAGAGCGAACTTGTATTGATCCGCTAGGTTAAGCTCTTCCTCCTCAGAAAACTCGATTGCTTGCATCCCTTTACGTCGAAAAGCAGTTTTGATCGGAATATCCTTATTAGCTGCTAGAACCTCCGCAAAAGATCTAGCCGCCGCTCCCGACTTAGTGGCCGGAGCGGCCCATGCAGCCGACGAAGTCATGCAGACTTAGACGCCAGAGCTCCTAGGGTTGCCGTCAAACATGGATGTAGCGGTTGTGTTTATATTTAAATGAAAGTATGCTATCTAACGGGACTAATAATAACCGTGGAATCAAAATCGTTTGACCAATACTTTTGTCGGATATAACCTTTGACGAAATTGGTGTATAAATTGGAAAAATGCCATAATTTAATTATCCCATCCAAGACTTAAAAAAATGTAATCAAAGTTGATGGACAGTCTACCCGGGGGGTATCTTATCCGAGGGGTTATTGCAGGAATAACTAGAGAGAAGTCAGAGCAAAATAGGAGGAGAGAGAGTCGATTTATTAAATGAACTCAGCGTGTCGGAGTCCGTCGTTTACAAGGAGAAATGGGCTGCTATTTATAGCAGCAATAAATGCGATGAGAGTACACGTGTCAGTAATCCAACGGCCGAGGGGTCACATCAATCAGGGTGGCACCGGCCATCCACGTTCCCCGCATTAAATGCGGTGGGTGGATGTGACGTCGCATTAAATGCGGTGGTTGGCTGTCTCCAAAGGGAATCTTCGATGATTGAGTTCGTTAGTCGAAGGCCCCTCGCGCAGCCGAGGGCTTCGTGTGGACGAAGGCACTGTGTATGGCCGAAGCCTTGATGTATGGACGAAGGCTTCATGTATGGCCGAAGGCTTCATGTATGGCCGAGCGCTTCATGTATGGCCGAGGGCTTCGTGTGGCCGAAGGCCCTGTGTAGCCGAAGGCTTGGTTCAGCCGAGGGCTTCCCTGGTGCCGAGGGCTCCTTTTTCTGCCGTTTTCTCCCAGTAGCTTCGCATGGCCGAACATGGCGGTTCTGTGAGTTTTGGAGCCTTCGGCCAAGGAGGCCGAAGGCACCCCTGTGTGTATTGTGGGATTCTTGACACTTGGGCCGCCGAATCTTGGGCCTCCTGAGCTCCTTAGGCTTGTTGGGCTTGTGATAGATTAGTAGGAGTCTGTGGGCCGGGGGTTCCTGGGCCATATACTCCATCAGGAGTCCCTCACTCCTTTTGCCGAAAGGTACTTGAGGTAAAAGGAGTTGATGTGTTGGTTCTTCTGGGGGCTTCATCATTCAGTTTGGGCGCCTTTGCTTGAGAAGTTGCCCTCTGCTGATTGCCGAGGGCTTCCCTCAGTCCCTCACATGTCGAGGGTTTTCTGAGGAAAGTATAGATGTATTGCCCGCATGTGTTACGATAGTGGCGGCTTCATTTCCGCAAGTGACTTGGGAAAATTTTTGATACTCTGCCCCTGCCGAAGGGTATATCGAAGTACGTACCCGAGGGTTTCTACTTTGACGTTTGCCCGGAGGCTACATGCGTCAATTGTAGATTTTCGTTTGAGGAAATTTTGTAATGTGTGATTCCCGAGGGGTGATTCCCAGTCCCCCACTCCTTTAGGCCGAAGGCTAGTTCGGGCTGAAGGAGTTATGACGTGTCGATGAGCTCCCGAGGGGTGGTAACATTGATAAGCCGAAGGCTTATGCTGCTATATGATCGAGGACGCAATATTGACAAGTCGAAGGCTTATGATGCTGCGGGCTCGAAGGCGCTTGGTGGGAGAGTGATAGCCGGAGGCCACCAATCGGGGGCACCCTAGTGTTTCCGAGGTATAGCCGTTGTAATAGAGCCGTTTGAATAGAGGTTGACGTGGCGTGTCCTCGTTGGCTGATGGGGGGCGGGTGTCGCCCATTGGCTGAACCGGCGGCCCGTAATGATGGGCTTTTCAAATGGAGGCCCATATTTCGAGGTCGGAAGTCTATATATACCCCAAACCGGAAATCATTTATCTTGCGCATTCATAATCTTAGCGAAGCTCTGCCGAATTTTCTAGAGAGAGAAAGTTAATTTCGATCAAACTCGAGTTTTTCCTTCGTTCCAAGGTCAGTTCTTCCCCCCGTTCTTCGTCTCTTTAGCATATTTTGCTATATGTCCCTTTGATCCTTTGTTAGAGACTTTAGGGGCCCTCGGCTAGGTTATCTAAATAAGTTGTCTTCCAAACCCTTCGACCACCTTAGGATGAGATGTCATCACAAAGCGACTCTCAGGACATCTCGAGGGATCCCTCGATACAACAAGAGAGTTCTTCGGACGCGGATTCCACGAGCGAAGCCTCCTCGGTTAGGAACGATTCTGCAGTGGCGATGGAGATCCAGGATAATCTCAGAATTGAGGCCGAAGCCGAAGATTTTGAGCAAACCGTCGAAGATGAGGAACTTGCCCTCGCCGTCCAAGTGGCCGAGGAGGAGGAGGAAAAGGAGCGGATGAAGGTGACTGTCGCAGTACTCCCCCTTCGTGGGGCTGGCGAGGCTAGTAGCTCCCGGCCGCTAGATCCGGAACCCCTTAGCGTCGCTCCAGGCAGGCGGAAGAAGAAGGTGGGGGCTGCCCCAAAGAAGAAGAAGGAAGCGGCAGTTGATGCGGGGAAACCTGTAGACATTCCCGAGGGCTACTCTTATTTAAACGTCGCTGCACTAGTTCTGAAATCGAGGGCCCTCCAATCAGAGTATCTGACGGCTCAGTTCCTTGTCGGTCCCCAGGGGCGTGTTATAGAGCCGAAGCCTGATGATGTGCTCTCCCAGGCTCCCGAAGGATGCTTTGCGGTCCACCTGCTATCCTTGGAGTTGGGGCTCCGATTCCCCCTTCATCCATTTCTGATAGAGTATCTAAAGTTTGTGAAGTTGGCCCCTTGTCAACTCACTCCCAATAGCCACTCATATATTGCTGGCTTCCTGTCCCTCTGTCGTTCTCGGGAGGTCGACCCCTCATTGGATCTGTTCTTTATGTGCTTCAACCTTTGCCGAGGGGGGCACACTCATGCTGAGGGCTTCGCTAACCTATAGCAGGTCCTGGAGTGGAGGCTGTTCTCCGAAGTCCCGTCCTCGCACAAGGGGTGGAAGGACAAATTCTGCTACATCCGGGTGGCCGTGAACCCCTTCCTGGAGCCTCTTAAAGATCGCTTCCGGAGGCACTTAAAGGTGGGAAGCGCCGCTCTTCAAAAAGCCGGGAAAAAATTGTCAGCTAAGCCCGAGGGCTCAGATAAGCAAGTGACAATCAAAGAAGTCACTCTCCCGGATGAGCTGTATAAGCTGGACTTTAGGCGCTACCGTCGCTTCGGGGAGGAGAATGAGAGATACCCCCTCATCGACATGGTTCCACAAAGTGCCGGAGGTTGTTGCCGAGGGCTCTACGTTTTTATACTTAGCACATTTTCTTGTTATGTAGTGAGTCTAATATATGTGCATTTTGCAGGACCCGCCATGGATCTAAAGGCAATCACCGCTCTGAGGAACAAATTGGACAAAGAGCAGAAGAAGAAGGACGCCGGCGGTCAGAAACCAGTCGACGCGTTTTTTAAGAAAGATGGCGCTGCTCAGGTTGCTGAGGGCACGGGAACTTCTGGAGGAGGCGCCGAAGCTCCCCAGGCGGAGGGTGCCACAAAGAAGAGAGCCGGCAAGGGTCAAGCGCCCCCGGAAAAGAAGAGGCAGAAGAAGGGAACCACCGAGAAGGATGGCGTCCCGGTGGTGGACGTCGAAGAGCTCCCGGTTTCTCAGGCCCCGGCTTCCAATACCCCTCGCTCCCCCATTGTCCAGATGGCCGATGAAGAGTGGCCTCGGGAGAATGTGCAGTTCTCTATTAAAAAAGGGACTGCCATTGTGCACGGCACCATGGACCCGAAGGATTTCTTGAATGGTGCCACCCCCCCCCCCCCCCCCCCCCCCGCTAGACAGGTCGGCCCTCAGCCGATATGAGGATGAGGCCGTTGAATCCAAACTCCTTCGTGCCTCCGTCACAGTGAGTATTCGGAGCCCTTCTCTTGCAAACTTGCTTAAGTGTTTTATGTTCTGTATTTCCTGACCCCTCATGACTTTTTGTACGTTTGCAGGCCAGCGTCCTCCTCGGGGAACATATCCGGAGGCTGGAGCAAACGCGCGCCCACAAGGCGGAAGACGACGAGGCCCTCAAGAAACTTGTCGCAACAAATACCGAGGCCATCAGGAAGATGGCAACATTGGAGGAGACCCTTCGGCGCGAGAGGGAGGCAATGTCGAAGGAACTTGAGAAGGCCAAGGCCGAGGGTAAGGCTGAAGCGGAGGCAGCGGCCGTTGCAGCAGCCAAGGAGGCCGCCGAAGCTGCAGAGAAGTCGAAGTCGGAGGCGGTGACCCAAGCTGTTGCAAACTTCATTGCCGGAGGCTGGAGGGCCGAGGACCAGAAGGCATGGAGGGTCTCGGTGGTCGGGGAGGAAGTCGACGCCTGGGTTAAAGGCCCCAGCGCCGAATGGTTAGCGCTGAAGGGTAACGAGTATTGGCAAGGGGGGGAGTTCTTTACTCAACGCCTGATCTACCGGAAGCTAGCCGCGCATCAAGGCATTGACTTGAAGGATTTCAACCCTGATTCATTCGGCCTGCCCCCGCTCCAACCAGATGTCAGGGTACCCCTACCTGAAGGCGTGGAGAGGCCCATCCTCCGAGACTCTTTGCTGTTGCAGGAATGCGGCGGAGACGAGGAAGAGGCTGGCGATGATGCTACTTCTAAAGCTGCCGAGGAGGGGGCCTCAACTGCTGATACTTAGCATTCTTGTAGCATTTTTGATGTAATACTCACGTCAGCTATCGGCTTCGGCCTCAGTATGTAAAGAAACATCTTTTGGTACTTGAATATTAGTTTTTGGTGAGGAATGATTTGCCTTCGGGCCCTTTCTCGATGGATGCTTCCGGTTTTATTTTATTGTATGCCTTCGTTTGCATGAATGTATGTCCTCGCTTGCTTTCACTTGTTTATGAGCACTTGTTCCTTTTCCTTTAGCCCGTTTTTCCGAAGGCCATAAACTTGTGGACTTAGATAAAATTTCTATGTGTCAACGTAGTCAGAAGCCTTCGGTGATTGTGGACTTAGAAACCAAGTTTCTAAGCAAATACTTGACCATATCCACCAAAGCCTTCGGGTGTAGTGTGGAGCGGCCGGGGGCGTGTATTTGTGGTCTTAGAAGATTTTCTAAGTGAAAATCTCTGTCAAAACCCTTCGGATGTAGCGCAAAACCTCAGAAAAATAATCTAAGTAAAACTCCATCGGAGGCCTCCGTTGAAGAATCCTTGTAATGCTTCCTGGGTGAAGTGATAGGACCGAGGGCTAAAATGAATTAAACTTAGCAAATTTTCCAAGCTAATTTCACCTTAGGCCCCGACGGTGATGAAGCCTTAGAACCTTAGTGTAAGTTCAGGTTCTTGTTGGGTAGCTTGAGGGTACCTTCGGCATTAAGCCTGTTGATAGTAATTGAGCTTTCCGGAGGGTTCCGAGTTGTGGACTTAACCAAGGTTTCCGAGCTTGAGCCCCCGTGTGTAGCCGAGGGGTTCAATCTTGTGAACTTGGTGAAATTCTGAGATTTGTCTCCACAAGATCTTGTGAGTAGCCTCCGGCGGTGATGGGTGTTCTCCGAAGGGTTCCCAATCATGGACTTAGTAAAATTTTAACCTAGTTTCCATAGATGTCGTTGACCCTTCGGTTGCAGGAGTTCGATGAGCTCCCCACTGTTGTAAGTTTCATGAAGTGGTATCCAAAGTATTTTAACCAGACTCGAGGGCATGCCCTCGGGTGGCGAGATAGACAGCCGTGTAGTCTTCGGCTACGTATATTCAAAGTGTTGAGCCTCCGGGGAGAATAGTATCCGGGGAGTTCCTTCCCCCCTACACATCCTTCCTTCTTTTTTTTTTTTGAGATGGCGTAGGAGAGGCATCTAGAAACTTGGTTTCTGGGAAAGGTTTGGCCTACGTGGGAGGCGACGGAATAAACCGTTGGCTCCCCCTTCGAGAATGACCTTCCGATATCCCGAAGGGTTTGAGGGTCGTTTCCTCGGCCCGAGACATCGTCTGTTGCCTGCTTCCCCTTGGGAGATAGCACGGAAAGCGCCTCGGTTTTGAAAGTCGTCCCCTCAGCCCGAGACATGGTCTGTTGCCTGCTTCCCCTTGGGGGATAGCGCGGGGAGCGTTTCGTTTGTGGAAGTCGAATCCTGGGCCTGGGACATGGTCTGTTGCCTGCCTCCCCTTGGGGGATGGCGCGGAAAGCGTTCCTGGGAAGGGTTTTATTTGTGTGTGGAACACAAACAGCCGGGGGCATTTGGTGCCAGCCGGAGCCGAGGGGTGTTGCACCCCCGTTTTTTTTTTGGAGAGTATGTATAAGTATGCATAATGTATGCATGATTGCGTCCTCGTGGGGTACGGCTTAGTGGGAAAACACTTGGTGTTTTCAAAGAGTGATGGGGGTGACCCATACACTTGGTACTTGGTACCTAAATTGGTGTTCGTCCTTATGAGGGGAGGAGGCCTTGGGCCTATTTTGGTGAAGAGATGAGGGCTTGGCCACTCATTGTCAGGAGAGATAGGGGCCTCGGGCCGCTTGTGTGACATATAGGTGATGAAGGCTTGACCTTTTATTCATTCACTCGAAGTGAATTGGGGCCTTGGGCCGTTGATCAAGTACATTTTTGAAGGGTGAGGGCTTGGCCGCTCATTGATAAAATTTGACTAGGTGGTGCACATTCCAATGTCTAGGGACCTCTGTCCCATTAGGGCATTTAAGCTTGTATGTCCCCGGTTTAATGATGGCTGAGATGATGTAGGGGCCTTCAAACTTAGGCGCCATTTTTCCTCCTTCGGTGGGTAGGCTGGCCTCCCTTCGTCGGAGGACGTAGTCACCCACCTGGAATTCCCGGGAGCGGACCTTGGCGTCGATGTAGCCTTTGACCTGTCTTCTATAGTTTTCGGCTCTGATGAAGGCTTGTTCTCGACGTTCAGAGATGAGATGAAGGTCGAGGGCCATGTTGGCGTCGTTGACCTCGGGTTCATATTGTTCCACCCTTCGGGTGGGAAGGGTCACTTCGGTGGGAGCTTTAGCCTCGAAGCCATAACATAGAGAGAAGGGCGTTTCACCGGTTGCACGCCGAGGGGTGGTACGGTAGGCCCATAGAATGTTGTGGATTTCTTCTACCCAGCCTCCCCCTTCGGCTTCCAGCTTCTTCTTCAGCCCTTCAAGTAGGGTTCTGTTGGCGTTCTCTACTTGTCCGTTGCCCTGAGGGTAGGCAACGGATGAAAAGGTGTGTTTGATGCCCCATGCCTCCAGGAGGGCACAGAAGGGGGCTGCCTCGAATTGAGTTCCGTTGTCGGAGATGATTTGTTGGGGGACGCCAAACCTTGTGAGAATATTTTTGAGAACAAAGTGGCGGCACCGGGCTTCAGTGATGCTGGCGAGGGGCTCGGCTTCTACCCATTTGGTGAAGTAGTCAATGGCCACAATGATATACCTGTTGTTGGAGGTGCCCCTCGGCATAGGGCCTACTAAGTCAATACCCCATCTGGAGAAGGGTATAGCGGTGCTGATGGGGGCATAGTTGACCGCTGGTCTGCCGGGGGCCTTCTGAAAGTGTTGGCAAGCGGTGCACCTTCGGGCTAGATCAGCACAATCTCTAGCCATCGTAGGCCAGAAGTAGCCTTGAACTATGAGCATTCGAGACATGGAGAAGGGTCCCTGGTGAGCTGAGCAAGTGCCGTTGTGCACTTCCTCCATAGCGACTTCGGCTTCATCTTGATGAAGGCACCGAAGGAGGGTGCCGTTGTAAGATCTTTTGTAAAGCCTCCCGTTCTCGAGGGTGTAGCTGGGAGCCCTCAGCTTTGCTAACTTGGCGCGGGCTTCGTCTTGGGGCAGTTGTCCTGTGGTGATGAAGGTGATGATGTCGGAGATCCAATCCTCCGGCCTTAGGTTAATGTTCATAACGGGGCTCGCATGGATGCTTGAGAGGTTGAGTTCCTCAATTCTTGCAATTTTTGAGAGGTGCTCGGGGGATTCATCCGAGAGCTTGGATAGAATGTCGGCCTCAGAGTTTTGAGCCCTCGGTATTTGGGTAAGAGAATGTGCCTCAAATACCTTAAGCAACTCCTTGACAGCCTCCTTGTATTGCTTCATCCTTCCTTCCTTGGCTTCGTACTCCCCGAAAATTTGACCCACGACAAGTTTGGAGTCACACTTGACGTGGATCATTTTAGCCTTCAGATTTGCCGCCAGCCGAAGGCCGCAGAGGAGGGCCTCATACTCGGCCTCGTTGTTGAAGACCTTGAATGAGAAGCGGATGGCATAATAGGCGCGGAAGCCCTCGGGTGTGATGAGAACTACTCCCCCTCCGCATGCTTTAGTGGCCGAGGAGCCATCGGTATAGAGTGTCCACCACTCATCAAGAGGCGCCGAAGGCTCTTCATCCACCGCTGATCTCGCGGTGCATTCCGTTACGAAGTCTGCCAGGGCTTGGCCTTTGATGGCAGGCCTCGGACGGATATCTATGTTGTATTGACTGAGGAAGATGGCCCATTTTACCATCCGGGAGGAGCCAGTGGGACTCCTCATGAGGGCGCCGAGGGGTTGATGTGTGAGCACTTGGACCGAATGAGCTTGGAAGTAGTGGTCAAGCTTCTTGACGGTCCAAACGATGGCTAGCACCGTCTTCTCGACGGGAGAGTACCTGAGTTCGGCCTCCCGGAGGGTTTTGCTGACGTAGAAGATGGCGTGTTGGATGCCGTCATCCTCTCGGATTAGTACTGAGCTGATGGCCGCAGGGCTAACACCGAGGTATAAGTACAAAGTCTCCCCTACCTTTGGTTTGGAGAGCACTGGGGGAGAAGAGAGGTACTTCTTAAGTTCATCGAAGGCCTCTTGACATTCAGATGTCCATTGGAAACCCGTTATCTTCCTCATGATTTGGAAGAAGGGGAGGGCCCTCTCGGCTGACTTAGAGAGGAAACGGTTGAGGGCTGCCAGGCGACCCGTCAACCGTTGAACTTCTTTGACGTTGCGTGGAGGCTCCATGTTGATGATGGCCTGAATTTTCTCGGGGTTGGCTTCAATACCCCTTCGGCTGACCATGTAGCCCAAGAATTTCCCTCCTTGTACGCCGAAGGTGCATTTCTTCGGATTCAGCCGGAGATTGAATTTTTGCATGATGGCGAAGATTTCCCGGAGATCCTCGGCGTGAGTGGTGGCCTTCTTGCTTTTGACGATCATATCGTCAACATAGGCCTCCATAGTGCGCCCCAAGACAGCTTGAAAGACCCTGGCCACCATTCGGGTGTAGGTGGCGCCTGAGTTTTTGAGGCCGAAGGCCATCACAAGATAGCAGAAGATGCCTTCGGGTGTCATGAAGGCAGTTTTTTCAGCGTCTCCCTCATGCATATAGATTTGATGATACCCG